CAGAGCCTTCAGGGTGCCACATATAGCTCTCAGTAGGAGTAATATATCTTTTAATTTATATCTTCATCAAAAAAAAGAAAAGAAGACATAAATCGAATGCCTCATATCAGTGAGAGGCTCCAAGGTCACTCTGCACGCGGAGCAGAAAGCCCAGTCACACTGTAGCCGTTGGCTCCGCGCTCGTCTGGCCGATGCGGCACTGCTCCGCCTGCCCGCACGTGCCCCAGCCACGGCTCGCTGCTTCTTGACCGTGGGCTCTAGAGCAGATGATGGAGACCCCTTAGAGAAGCCATCGCTTCCTACACCTGGTGTTATGGGCTCCAGGCTGCCTCAAAACATGCGCCTGCAGACGACCCAACAGACATCTGTTATTCCATCCACTATGTCACACGCTCGCCTTTGCCTTATGCAATGAGACTTCAGAGAGAGTTAGCAGAGATCTTTAGCAGCAATCTTCTCTAGCTGTAACTAACCAAACATGTGAAGCCATAGCTCCCTTTTTAGAAAAAYGAAGCTCACTGCAGACCTCCCTCGCCAAGACACTTGTCATTGAAAGTCATGTTCCTTCTTCACTTGCTTTGGTGGGGACAGATGTGAATTTGTAAAAATGCTATGTTGACCTGCTTCAGAGCTAATATCTTGATGCTTGCTCATTTACTTAGCAAGGGCTAAGTAACATAGCCCTTTACAAAGCCTTTACAAAGGCTTTGTAGCCTTTACAAAGCTCATTTACTTGCTCATTATTTAGCAAGAGAAGACTGGGAGATTATACACATCAGCATTACATGTGAGGGAGATTTGGAAAATTAAGACCTTGCTTCTAAAATGCTCAGAACAGTCTAAATACAGAATACTCTAAAATACTCAGAATACTCTAAAATACATTCYTGCTTGTGTTAGGACATCTAACAGTTTTGATGCCCCATCATATGTGTTTGATGCCACCTTGCGGTGGTTTGATGTCCTCATTTGAAAGGAAGGTTTTCATTCTTTTGGGATGTTTCTGCACAAATGGTTCCATGAAAGGGAAATACAATGTAGAAAAAGGACGGAGATGTTAGATGTCCTGCTCAGCCCTTCCCATCATTTCTGATTCGCAATCCTATSTCCAAACAGCTCTGTTAATAAACCTGGGTGCAAAATTGAAGTATCCTCCTAGCAGGGACTGCAACCTTAGGCTGAAATACACACAATATAGGGAGGCAGCCATTTGAGTATATGCTGAGACATACTGACTTAAACCTTGGGCCAACGCTTCCCCAGCAACTACRGACCTCAGATAAACTCTCCATCTAAGTTGCGCCTAGAGCTACAGATTTGGAGAAGCTCTTTCCTCCCTTGGAGGGCAACTTCCATCTCTAGCCCAACAATTATACTGTATTGAGCTACATCACCCATTTAAAGCAGGATATGAATTACAAAGCCTGGTATCACCATTTCAGTTGAGGACCAGCGCTTTCAAGAGAGGACCATCTCTTTTGACCCTCTCAGAAATTTGGTCCAACTCCTGCAGAGCAGTGATTTGACAGCAAAATGTCAACCTGTCACAGACGAAGTGCTCTGTGTTGTTTTTGTTTGCCTTTTGAACCTTGGGGAAGACACCATTTAACAACTGGCTGAATGCATCGGCAGATAGTATGAAACCACCATGTTTATCGATTTGAGTAATCACAGACTACGTAAAAAACGTTGCAAAACTCCTCATTGTACATTTGCTTTCTAGCCTCAGGCACCCTAGTGTTCCAAATGGCCCCTGCAGAAGATCCTGCAGAAGTCCTACATCCTGAAGGCAAAATAGCTGTGATGTCGCTGCCTCCGAGCTAGTTAATCAGCTTGTCTGATTAACTTGCACATAGCGTTATAATGTCACAGTCATCTCAGTTTTGGTTCTAGACCAACTCGGGCTGTGCTAGTTTGGGAGAGCAAGAACCTCTGCAAACCATGTGGCTCCACTCTGTATATAACATAGATGCAGCATATATATAGTATGTGTGGTGCTGTGGTGTTTATACTCAAAATCACACTTATGGTGAGCTGTACCTAGCACTTGGAGGAGAAAGCGGTTGGGATGGCCTGCAGGTTGCTTTCCCCCCCAGGAAAGTTGTCTCCTACACAGACAAGCTTTGCCTCGGCGGTTAAGTCCCGACTTTGCTGGAGGAATGGACTTGTCGAGCACAGTCCTTCTTCTAGYGCCTTATGGCCTAGATCCATGGTCCCGGCCCACAAGGGTCTCACTAAGAAGGATCAGCAGCTCCATGGAGGCGGTTTAGCAACATCTCTTCCCACAGGAGAGAGGTGGCATTGGCAGTGGAGCGTGTAGCTACTGCAGCCGTGTGGAGTTTTAAGGTAAGCAAAGGGCTCTTTTATTTATCTTAACTTCTAGAGCAAGCAGATGCRAAGAGAGGAGAAAAAGGCTTTTCACCTCTCTGTCATGTAACCTCATGTTTGCTTTGCTGGGACTACTTTCTCACGTGGTTTCTCAGTGTGTTTCCCAGAGTGAMTGTGGAGGGAAGGCCGTACTCCAAAGTCTGCGTGTCGACCGGGACAGGATCCTGCTCTGAAAAGCCCARGTGATATTTTCAAAGCTATCTGAATCCCTTGGGATTTGGGTCAGTATCAAGTTCACGTTTTACGGCTACCAAAAGGAAGGGAAACGGTCTCCCGCATTCCGCGGCGCTCTCCCGGCAGCACCCCCGCCGCCCCGGCAGGCAGGGCCCGGCGCGGCGCTGAGGCAGGAGGTATCGGCGGGCGGGAGGCGCCGAGGGGACACGGCAGCCGCGGCCCCCACACGCCGCCATGGCGCCCGGCCGCGACGGCGCGACCCCTGGGCACGGGCGCCCGCTGCCATGGCAACGCACTGCACCCCCCCCACCCCGGCCCGCACATCGAGCATGCGCGCCAGGCGCCGCGGCGAGGCGCCCGAACCGCCAACTGCCCCGATTCGAATTCGCATCCTCAGCGCCCAATCAGAGACCGCAGGGCGGGTCAGGCACCGCCCCCCACACCGGCCTTCCCACCAATGGCGGCGCCTGCTGGGTTTGAAAAAAAAGTGCGCGCGGCGG